TAGATAGATAGATAGATAGATAGATAGATAGATAGATAGATAGATAGATAGATAGATAGATAGATAGATAGATAGATGAGAGAGAGAGAGAGATGGGGAGCTGCGGGACTGCTGTATGAATATCTTATTTCTCAAATAGCCAGACAAGCTGAAATACAAAAAGGCAAGATGAATCAAGGGAGTTGGCTAGCAGTTGGAAAGGATTCATTTAGGAATGTGTATTTGTTGTTTTTGTTTTAAAGGAAGAATGACAGAAGCTCTTGCCTCTTTCATCTCTGCCTATGTTTCTTCTCCACATTGTCCTCAACTGTACTTCTTTCCAGAAGAGAGAGAATAGAGGAACTCCAAGCTCCAAAGTAGCCAGAGTCATCTGCATTCTGGATTCATGAGAAATGCTAGGTTTCTTCTTCCACCATCCTGGGTTTTGGGTTACTTTCAGTTCCTGTTTTTTTTCATTTTACTGCTGGGTACTGCAGTGTTTTCTCTTCTTGCCAGTTGATGGCTTTTGCTCCTTGCTCCAAAGATTAGGTTTATCTAATAAGTATGGAAACATGGACATGGCATTACACATGGGTTTAGTTTAATCAGAGTTTAGATCTGAATTAAATTAACCTTAGTTTAATCATAATCATTATTCTTAATATCTCAGGTATCAGTCATAAGATTTATAGTATCTCATGTAGTCATTGTAAACCAGGACTTTTACCCTAGGGAAGTTCAAAAACATCCTACTTATACCCATTCTCCTAATGTAAAGAGTTGGCTTTATTTTATGGGTAGCCAGTGAGTGGAGGCTGGAAAAGTGAGCACAGACTTAGATGCACAAGCAACTGAAAGCTAAAAGGGGGCAAATACCAACCATACCAACTTCAGAATTTGCAACAGTCAATAGACAGCCTGCAGCTGTAATAACATTTTCCCCTTGCAGCCTTTGCTTTAATGGCAGGACCAAGGAATCCAAAGGTAGTATTTCATTACCCATGGAAAAGGGAGTATAATGAAATGAAATGAAAATATATATATTTATTCCTAATTAACAGAAAGTTGCTGTTTCTAATACAGAATAAAAAGAGTAAACAGCCATATAATTAGTAGATATATGTTGATTAAAGGGAAAAAAGAAGGGATTTTAGAACTTCAGAATCTGGAAAGAAACCTAAGCATAGTAAATGTTCTAGGCACCCTGGATTTAAATGGAGAGAACAGGGCATTAAAAAATAGAGAAGAGAAGAGATGCTAAAATGATTTTTGGATAAATTAGTAGCCTGTAGAAGGAGTGAGTGAGGAAGATAAATGAAATCTCACTGAGCACAATCTGCTTACTATGACATCCATGAGTATATAAGACCAAGAACTCTCGATAGACGTTGGCTAGGTAAACTCTTGGGCTCAACTGTAATGTATGATTTATGATTGAATCTCCTATGGCTTAGTATTAAGTATGAACTGAATGGCTGTGGCTTAATTCAAAATCCAGTGGGATATATATACCCTGCAAATGAGTTATAGATTAGATAAAAATAGTTTTCAAGAAGTCTGTCTTCTTTCACCTGCAAACTTTTGTAGTTGGTTGTGGGTAGTGGTAGGATTCAACTTTTTTACTACTGGTTCTGTGGGCGTGGCCTGGATTGATGGACATGGCTTGGTGGGCGTGACAGGGGAAGGATACTATAAAATCTCCATTCTCTCCCCACTCCAGGGGAAGGTTACTGCAAAATCTCCATTCCCTCCCGATCAGCTGGGACTCAGGAGGCAGAGAATAGAAGGGGCCAGTCAGAGGTGGTATTCATCAGTTCTCTGAACTATTCAAAATTTCTGCTATGGCTCTCCAGAACTAGTCAGAACCTGCTGAATACCACCTCTGGTTGTGGGATTCTAGAACGCTTCAAAAATTTTGGGGTTTGTTTCAGGGCAGGGAGGACCTGTTTGCTTCTCTCTCTCTTTTTTAACTTTAATTGCTTTGCACCGAATTTCCTTCTGTCATGGATCTTGCCATCCCCCACCCCCCATCTCTTAGCACCAAGTATTAGTAAAGAAAAACATTACGTCATTGTCACAGGAGATAAACCCCAAATGGCCATATGATTGCAAACACTAGGCATATTCCAAAGAAACTTCATTCAAACCTACTAAAATTAATGAGACTTATTTCCACGCAACTCCATTTACAAGCATATGCGCCCCACATGCTAAAAACATTAGCTCCTCTGAGGCAGGCTTGCACACTCTGGAATTCATCTCCCTGCTGAAATGCTGAAGCCATGTTTATTCAAGGGAAGTCGGCAAAATTCCCACTCATCCCTGTTCTATATCATCATTCTGTTCAGAAGACTCCCCAGTTAATAAGCAAATATCTCCTTCTGGTCAAGGCGGAGTGAGAGATTTGTACACAAAGTCCTTTAGCAGGGTTTCTGTTGACCTTCTCTAAATAGGCAGGTAGTCATCACCCATCAGACTTTTACTTGTTTATATGCATATGAAGGGCGGGAGGATTTTTAATGATCACCTCGGAGACACAGAATAGGTAACGATGCCAGTGCTTTGGATTGACTTTGTTTGAGGATCTGCTGAAAATTATTTGGATTATAAAATATGTCAAAGCAAAATTGTTCTTAAACATGATTGATGAGCACTGAATTTCGTGTTGCACATTGACCGCCCACCAGCCTACAGATACTAGCAATTCCCAGATGCCTTTTAATCTTTCATAAGGAGAGAGAAAGTAAGGAATATGATTATATTTTTGAAGTCATCTCCTGATTTTGTTCTCCTTTGAAGTGAAAGCAAACAGATTTCCACTCACACTCAAATGCAAAAACTGACAGAGTCAAACATCTGTGGGGATCTGCACACTGTCAGAATCTACTCACTCTCCTCTGTCTCTGACATCACTGTCTGCCACTAATATTACTGCTTGCCATTCCAGTAAGTAAACTGAAAATCAGATAAGAAATGCAGCAGATGTTTGAAGAAGCATTCCAAATTATCCAAAGGTTCAAATTCTGCCTTCTAGTCTGTGTTGGGTTTTTTTTTAAGTAGTAATTGTCTCTGTTAAATTTCCTTCTGTTATTCTCAGCTTATTTTTCTAGTTTTCTAATTCAATTTTAAATTTTACTTCTATCTTCAAGAATGTATTAGTTACTCCACCCAATTTTACATAGACTGCAAATTGGATGAGCATCTTTATTCAAATTGTTAATTAAAAAAATGAAACACACAGAACTGAAACTTTTGGCACATTATTTAATACCACACTACAATTCAATGAGGAACCATTGGTTCTCCTCCTACCTCTCGGACAGGTCGCAGTCGGTGTTGGTGGGTGGGCAGAGATCATCCCCGAGGCCCCTAACATATGGGGTGCCACAGGGGTCGGTCCTGTCCCCCCTCCTATTTAACATATACATGAAACCACTGGGCGAGATCATCCGGAGGCACGGGATAAAGTATCACCAATATGCGGACGATACACAACTGTATCTGTCCGCCCCGTGCCAACTCAATGAAGCGGTGGACGTGATGAACCAGGGTCTGGAAGCTGTTAAAGACTGGATGAGAGCAAACAAACTGGTGCTCAACCCAGACAAGACCGAGTGGCTGTTGTGTTTTCCTCCCAATAATTTGACCACCGTACCATCAATCAGGCTGGGGGGACAAAACTTACACCCCTCAGATAGGGTCCGCAACTTAGGAGTCCTCCTGGATCCACAGCTGAGTTTTGATCACCATCTATCGGCTGTGACCAGGGGGCATTTGCCCAGGTTCGCCTGGTGGGCCAGTTGCGGCCCTACCTGAATCGGGAGGCTCTCACGACAGTCACTCGAGCCCTTGTGATCTCTAAGCTGGAATACTGCAATGTGCTCTACATGGGGCTGCCCTTGAAAAGCACCCGGAGTCTTCAGCTAGTACAGAACGCGGCCGCGCGAGTGATTGTGGGCGCACCTCGGTTCGCCCACATAACACCTATCCTCCGCGAGCTGCGCTGGCTACCTGTGGATCTCCGGGTGCAATTCAAGGTCTTACTTACCACACATAAAGCGCTCCATGGTAGTGGATCTGACTATCTGAGAGACCGCCTCCTGCCAATAATCTCCCTGCGTCCCATCAGATCGCATAGAGCGGGCCTCCTCCGTATTCCATCCGCCAGTCAGTGCCGACTGGCGACCACCCGGAGGAGAGCCTTCTCAGTTGCTGCTCCGACGCTATGGAACAATCTCCCCGTGGAGATTCGTACCCTGACCACAGTCCAGGCCTTCCGTACA